ACGGACAGTTGTTAGCTGCCATGTGGGTGCTGGGATTTGAACCCTGGTCTTCTGCAAGAACAGTCAGTGTTCTTAACCGCTGAGCCATCTCTGAAGCCCCTTTATTTGTATTTTTGTCTTATTTGTAAGAGTGTACTGCCTGCAAATATGTAAGTGCACTTGTGTTGTGTAATGCCCATCAAGATCAGAAGAGGGCAATGGATCCCCTAGAACTGGAGCTACAGACAATTGTTAGCTGCCATGTGGGTGCTGGGAACCCAACCTGGGTCCTATGCAAAAGCAGGCAGTGCTCTTAACCACTGGACCATCTCTCCAGCCTCTCTCTCTTTTTTTTTTTTTAAAGACAGGGTCTCCTGTAACCCTGATAGATTCAATCTTCCTATGTAGCCAAGGATGACCTTGACCTTTTAAAAAAATACTGCATTTTATGTGTACATATGCGTCTACTCCATGTGTGTGGGTGCCTGTGGAGGCCAGGAAAGGGAAATGGATCCCTCAGAGCTGGAGTTATAGGTAGTTATGAGCCACTTGATGTGAATGCTGGGGACCAAACTAGGATCCTATACAAGAGCAGCAAGCATTTTTAACTGTTGAGTTATCTCTTCAGGCCTGACCTTAACCTTGTGATCTTGCCTCCATTTTACAAGTGCTGGGATTACAGGTGTATACCACGCTCAATTTATGCAGCACTGGGGATAGAACCAGGGCTTCATGCATATTAGGAAAGTACTGTACCAACTGGGCTACATTCCCCTCCCCTTCCCTTAAGTATTAATGAGAACTGAAGAAGAGAATACTAAAAGATGTAGAACTGGATTACTTAGCATTTTCACCATTGGAAAAGAAGCTTGTTGCTATTGCTTTTAGAGTTAAGTGATGTGTATGTCAATAATTTACTTTAGACACTGAAGTCATTTCATGAAAGTTTTAAAAACATCACTATTACTTCTCAAGAGGTGAAAGGGACTTTGTTCAAATAGACATTTTAGCAAAGTGCTAGGGATGCCTTTTAATTAGTAACTGGGGCAGGACTAAAACCCAGGTCTTTCGAGGCTTAGTCTGTAGATAGGTGGCTCTTACAAGATGGGCCCTTCATCTGCATGATGAGGCTGCCTGTTCCTGGCCCACAAGTTTGGATCTGAGTAAATATTCCATTGAGGGTATTAGTTCTCTGCATGTGAAGGACACAGATTTGGAGACTAGCTAAGAAAGGTCTAATATGAATCTGTAGTACAATGTGCCAATACCAGACTTGGAGGGTAGCTCAACAGTAGGGTGTGGGTTATCATGGGTGAGACCCTGTGCTCCATCCCTAGAACCAGGAATGACTGACTGACCAGGTCCTAACTTTGGTACAGACTCTGACTCAAAAGTGTTGAACTCTTTAAGAATGTTTTAACAACAGTAGAACTATTTCATGTAACATCTCCTCTCATTTAAAGGTACCAATTTTTAATAAAGGTAGCAGACATACTTACCTAGATTTATTTTCAATCTATTCTTTCTATACCAGTTTCCCACAAAGTATGTTTAGGCCAAATACCTATAGGATTCATTACATTTGGGTTGGGCTATATCTTTTGTTATGTACAAAGTTCTGAGGACTAAGATGTTCTGAATGCAATGCAGGTTAGTGAAAGCTTCATGATTTAAGTAAATAGATGAAATACCTTAGAAAGCCTGAACTCCATTTTAGTCATAAACTGGAATAGTAGAATCAAGAGTTAAGAAAATGTTTCATCCCAACTAAAATGTTCCATATGAAGCAGGAACTGACTGGGTGTTATATGGCATATCTAAAATGCTCTGGACAATGTAGAGACAGATGATATCTTTAAAAGTCATTTCCTCATATTTGAAGAAAGAGAATCCCAAACATATAACTGAGGATTTAAATTCCACATGACTTACCTATACCGCTCCTCCTGTAAGGTCTGCATTATTAAGGAATAGTCCCTCTGATAATGTTCCTTGAGGGTCTCAAAGGATTCCTCCAGTCTGGCCTGGGTTTCTCGGATTTCCTGGATCTCATGCAGTAGTGCATCAAACCCTGAGCTCTGCATGTCTAGGGTGTTGGTTTTGGAGCTGGATGCTCCTACAGCAACGCCCCCGGTGGTGCTGTTGGCTCCTACTGAGCCTGAAGTGGCACTAGAACAATCTTCCTCACTACCATATTTTGGGCTTGACTGAAAGTTTGAAATCACCCCCAAAGCCTTTCCCCCATCATCCACTTGCCCTTCCTCCAATGAGTCCTTCAGGTTAGGGATGTTGTCTGCACTACCAAATTTGTTCCGAATCAATGAGGCGATTTCTCTGGGCTTTGAGACCACAGCACCTGCTGCTGAATGGGTAGCCTGGGAGAAACTGGAAAATCCACCTTTGACACTGTCTACGACACCTTCACTGAAGCCAGTCACCTTCGCACCCACATCCTTCAGACCTTGGTGCATGTCCCTGAAGACATCCTTTGGCTGTCGGGGGATCCCATTTTGCTCTACCTCTCGGAGTTTGCGGTGGTAGTGCTCAAGCTTCTTCTGCAGCTGGAGGATGGTCTGGGCAGATTTCTGGTTCTTCTTCTCAAACACCTGCTTGATGCGAGCAGCCTGTTGCTTGTCTGCACTGTTAGCAAGCTTTAAATACTCAGCGACGTTGTCGTCCCGGGCTGTCTGTGCAATCTTGATCTGTTCTGTGAGCTTTAGGATCTTCTGCTGCAGGTGAGCAATGGCAGCTTTTGTGCGCTGAGGGTCTGGAATTCCGTCCACAGACTCTGTGTGGAGGCTGCCATCGGTGCTGGAGGCCACGGCACTGGAGGTCTGGGCAAGGCTGCTTACGTCCAAACGCTCGATCTAACATTTTGAAAGCAAGAGGTGGATATTAGAAACAACCCAGAATCAACAGGCCAAAATGTGTGAAAATCTGCCTACTTTTAACTCTCAGCAGATAGCTGACCTGTACTTCCTCCTGTCCTGTCCAAGCCCTGACTCCTTTCTGGATAGTCTTATTCACAAATACTTTGCTTAAGCAAAACCAACAAAGTATATGGAAGAAAGGACATTGCAGAGAGATAAACTGGGAGTATTCTTTTGCTAGAGGATTTATACAGTATTTCTTTAAATTACAAAACTCTGTAAGTAGGCTGAAAGCATGAATTCCCATTCTGTGTATATACTTTTGTTCAGAAGCTAATCTATAATAAGACTAGGCACATCAGCTTTTCAATGTAATAATGTGACATGCATTCTGGTGCTCAGATACCAGTGTCATCCTGAGCCACAGTCACAAACTAGTCACCTGAAAATACTGGCACGAATAGGTATGCTGATAGTTAGCTATAACCAGCCAATTTTTCTCACAGTGTCTTTTTGTCTAACTCACATCCAGGGCAAAGGAATAACTATCTGTTCTCATAAGGGCATTTTGCTGCAGTGGAAGACAGGTGAGGTTAGATTGAGAAGGTGCTGCTGACAGGCAAAAGTGGGTGCTACCAAATTACAAGGAACCGTGATACACCTGGTAAGATGGCGTGAACATTCAGGGACAGTGATGCTCAAAGATAAGTGATTAAATCACGGACTAAGGTTACATCTTTTTGGGTCCAAATTCTGTGTTTTAGCCAATAAAAAGTTTATTTTAGGTAAGAAAGGACAAAGTTCATACATAATCTTTCACATAGGTGGAAGAAAAAGATTTAAACTTTCAAATGCCAAAAGCAGTTAGCTAGCTGAGGCTAGAGAGAGGCCAGCTTTCCTAGGCTCAGGAGGATGCTCCTGGGTGTGGCTTGTGCTGGTCAAGGAGGGCACTACAGAAATGAGTGATAAAAAAGCCATCTTAGGTTAGGCATGGTAGCACATACGTTTAACCCTAGCACTAGGGAAACAGAGGCAGGCGGACCTCTTTGAGTTTGAGGCTGACCTGGTCTACAAAGCAAGTTCCAGGCCAGTCAGGGCTACCTAGCGAGACCCTGTCTCAAAAACACAAAACAAAACAAAAAAGCCATCTTAGGACAAGAAAAATGCTCAGTGCAAGTGTCTGACTGCAACCTGACCCTTTGCAGACAAAGATCATACCCCTTTTCTTGGTTCCAATCCATATTCTGTCCCAGGGCAATGTGCTAGAAAGAACTGTACAGAAGCCAACCCCTACATGTTCATGACAATACACCAGTTCTGACACACACATGAAATGCCATAATTAACCTGACACTTCCCTGTGTCTCTCACTCATTTTAGATGTATAGTCTTAGTTTATTATCTGAGGAACTATTATTTCAGGAATTATGCTGACCTCTGAGCTTTTATAAAACACATTTAGTCCAATATGTTACCATCAATGTGAACAAAAACCATCATATTGGCTGGTGTGTGTGCTTCAGTGGTGAAGTCTTGGCCTAGCATGTTTGTGAGGCCCTCGCTGCTTAACACTGCAACAAATAACAACAAAAATATTACAAACACAGTGCATTTAAATGAAATTGAAAGCTATCACTGGGGATGTAGATCAGTGTTAAAGTGTTTGCCTAGCATGTGCAGAGCCTGGTGTTCTATCCCAGCATAGACTAGCACAGCCCGCTTTACATCACTTCCTCCTTGTGCCTGACTCACCATAGAGGAGCATAATGGCCAGAGAAGCAGAAGGGAAGGAGCCAGAGCTCCATAAACCAGGTATCAGGAATTGTTAATATTGTACAAGTGTCCTACTGTTTAAATTCCTCTCTGCATGAGATTCGGATCTTACAGCTACAGTGTATCATTCGGCTCTGCTTATCTATGTTCAGTTATCAAGTTCAGAACCTACCACAGTAGAAGAGCAGCAAGAACGGTGAACACCTCTAGATCTAAAACTACTCTAACCAAGCTTATACATGCTTGAGTTGATTAATCTGGTAGGATCAAAATTGATCACACTTATGACAGAAAAGATTAGAATCAAGGTCCAACCAACCCCCCCAAACACAAACACACACACACAATCACAAAAAACTTTCAATATACAAATGATTCTATTTCCCTACATAAAGTAACTAACTAAATAAACCAGACTCTTTTAAAACTGATTTCTGTCCTGCTTGGGGCTACACTGTGTCCTTCCAAGGATAGTTCCCATACAGTCATTAACATACCTACAATAGGAGAGCTGACAGAACCCAAGGTTCTCAGCTTCCAAGGAAAGCCAATACACTTATTTTTTTTAACATCAGAAACTGGGAATCACTGGAATAGTTGGTAATTCTTCTAAATTTTGAAAGGCACTCATTTAAAAAAGGGGGAAACTTGGAAATGGGGAAGGAGTGGAGAGAAAGGGGTGCTAAAAGGAGAGGATGAGGAAGAATGGAGAGGCAGAGCAGGGGAGGAGAAAAAAGTAAAGGATACACTAAACTATAGCACTCCAGGACAGAAGAAAGGGTCACCTGCATTTTATAACTTTGAACCAAGTCCTTAAACGGGAGGTCTATGCTTTAAGTATAAATAAATACCTGGTCATGAGTCATGAACATACTAACTGTAATCTCAGCACTCAGGAGGCTAAAATGGAAGGAGTCCTGCAAGTTTAAGGTTGGCCTGGTCTATGCAGTAAGTTGCAGGCCAGTGTGACCCTATCTCAAGGCATACCCCCAAAAGAAAAGACTCATTTACTTTTCTTTTTGTCTTGGCTTTCGTTAGCCTTTTCTGTCTTTAAAGTTTTTTTTTAAAAATATTTTATTAATTATTTTTATTTTATGTGTATGAGTGTATTGCCTGCATGTATGTGCGG